CCAGCCAGGGCGCGGTGTGCACAGCAGCAGCACAGTCTGTGACCTGCCCTGTCAGCTCGCCAGCAGCCAGCAGCACCTGCGCAGGCACTGCCTGGTCCACCCAAGCGCCAAATGACATGCCAATCGCATCATATGCCTTTTCAGGCTTGTTGCGAGCCAGCTCGACCTGAGCAAGCACAGCAGCGCCAATTCCTGCAGCCGCTGTGCCCACAGTACCTGGCAGAGCCATGCCTGACCTGGCAGCTGAGCTTGCAGCCCAGCGCGCCTCCAGCAGCAAGTTGCGCGAGCCCTCCCCAGGAGCTGCAGCTGCAGCCTGCAGCGCAACTGTCGCTGTAACAAGCTCTGCTGCTGCTGGCGCTGCATCCCCAGCGGCTCCTGCAAGCCGCAGCCCTGCAGCTGCAGCTGCGCGTGCTGCCTCCCACTGCCCCAAGTCCGCCAGCAGCAGCGCCTCCTCCAAAGCAGAAGCTTCCAGGAACTGCGGCCCAGGCCCCAACACGCCAGCAGCCGCTGCAGCAGCAGGCAACTCCGCGCCAGCATCCGTGGCAGAAGTTAGTGCAGCAGCAGCACCCTCCCAGATGCCGTGCAGCAGCGCTGCAGCCTCCTGCTGCCTGCCATGCCCAGTCAGCAGCTTGGCCAGCTCCAGCACCGCGCCAGCAGCAGCACCGCCGCTGCCGCTGCCTGTCACTGCCTGCCTGTACGCCATCTCTGCCTCTGTCACCATGCCCCTGAGGGCCAGCATACGCCCCACCTGCCGGTGTGCTGTGGATGCGCCGACTCCACCTGCTGCCATTGCTGCTGCAAGCGCATCCATTGCCCAGTGCTGCGCTGCATCTTGGCAATCAGGCATACGGGAGTGCTGGTGACACTCACTGATGGCCACCATAAGCCGCACCTTGACGTCCTGCAGCTCCTGCAGCTTGCAGGAAAGCAGCGACCTGGTGCTGCTGCTGGCACCGCCGCCGCCGCCAGGCGCAGCTGTTGCTGATGCCGGCGCTTGCTGCTGCTGCTCAGCTATCAGCTGCTCCACCCTGTTGAGTGCGCTCAGGCAGCAGTGCTCTGCCCGCCTGAAGTGCGCTGCCTGCCCATCACCTACTGCCTGCAGCAGTGCCGCAAGCGCCAAGCAGTACCACAAGTCTGGGCTTGACGGCATGGCATGCAGCAGGCGGCGCAGCCGCGCCACCTCCTGGCCCGCCTCTGCTGCTACTGCAGCCGCAACTTGCCCTGACAGCGCAGTAGCTCTGCAGGATGCAGCTGCCAGCACCTCCTGCATTGCCAGCTTCTGTGCGGACTGGCTTGGGGCGCTGCTGTGTGTGCCCGGCAGGTCTTGCTGCAGCTGCTGCAGCTGCACGCTGTTGCTGGCACTGCTAGATGCTGTGTAGGTCTCTGGCAGCAGGCCAGGGCAAGCATTGAACACTGCTGTGGCCTTGCGCGGGTTTCCTGCAAGCGCATACTCTGCCAGGCGCAGGCGTGCAGGCACATGCCATGGGCAGGTGTGCACCGCGTGTGCGAGCGTGCGCATGGTGGGTGTCTTGGCGCCGTCTGCTGCTTGAGCAGCAGCCGAGATGCACTGCAGCTCACACTCCACCTGCAGCATATCAGCAGCAGCACAGCCACCATTTGAGCAACACATCAAACGCGGCACCTCGCATCACAACAAGCAGACTGGACCAGCCAGGCAGCAGTAGCACTAAGAGCAGATATGCGTATGCATGCAGGCCGTCTCAGAGCTACCACAGTGGCGTCGGCAGTCGATGCAGAGTTGCTAATCAGCATACATCCCAAGTGCGGAACATCATTGGGCAGGACATCAGCCAAGCGCAAATGCGTGAGTCAGCTTGCGCGCAGGCACACCGGCAGCAGACTCACCCAAGCCATGTCAACGTGCTGCAGCTGCCCCATCACTGCCTGCCGCATCACTTCAACCACTTGTGCCTGCAGGTCCCGCAGCCCCGCTGCCGCTGCTGTAACCACCAGCGCCAGCCATGTGCGTGTGCAGCTGCTGGCGAGGGTGGGGCTGCTGGCTGCCAGCTGTGGCAGGTGCTGCAGCAGCAGGCTGAAGGCAGCCTCGAAAGAGCCCTGCGAGAGGTGGTGCTGCAGGGACAGCGGAAGGCAGTGCAGGGAGGGCAATGTCAGGGGTGTGAATGTGTGCATATCAACCTCTCCATGCACTGTTAGCTGTGGCTGCACGGTTCCCCTGCACATGTTGTGCTGCTTTTTACAGAAGCACTTCAGCTGCAAGCATAGCACACAGTGCTGCTCACCTGCAGCAGCGCCATAACAGCATGCAGCTTTGCTGTGTCGCCGCCAGCTTCCTCCACTGCCTGCTCCAGCACCCTGCTGCACAGCCCAGCCTGTCCCAGCTGCTGTGCAGCAAACCCATAGCACACCCAGCTGTAGCTGTCAGAAGTCAAAGGGTTTGACCCGAGTGACCCCTGCTGCTCAAGCTTCCCATACAGCTGCACTGCAGAGTCAAACTGTCCCGCAAGCACCAGGTTCCTGGCGAGAGCTATCTCAAGCGCCACTTGAACTGACTCAGGGCTGGCAACGCCCTCTGAGCCCTCAAACACTGCTGCCTGCAGCAGCACCACGCGATGTGTGGCCTGGCCGAAGCCCTGCCCAAAGCCTGTCAGGCCCAAAGCTGCTAACCCCTCAGAACCCTGCTGCAGGCCTGCTTGCAGGAGCGCGAGGCAGTACTGCAGTGCAGCAGCTGCAGAGCTGTGCTGTCCGCGGGCTTCCAGTGCTGCTGCTAGCGCTGCGTGCGGCGGCAGCAGCAGCGGCTGGTGTGCGCTGGCCTTGCAGGCACATGCCAGCAGCAGACCCTCGTGCTGGCTGGCGCGCCCCGGCAGCCCAGCTGTTGCAGGCAGAAACAGCACAGGCGGCAGGCGGCAGCAACACACAGGCAAATGGCAGATATTAGTGCGAGAAAAGCACAAGCACGGACATCTGCTAGCGTGCGTGCACGCGCCTGTGCACATTGCATGATGGAGGCTTGTTGCAGACACGATGGGAACATCAGATGCGATGAGTAGTCTTTTCATGTAAGCTCCGGGGCGTCTGCTGCAGAGTCTGACTTCATAATCTGACTGCAGAGCTGCAACATTTGTTACCCCCCATGCACACCTGTTGCGTATTCTAGCCAGGACTCTGGCCCTCCCCCCAGGCCAACAGCATGCTCCGCAGCAGCGGCTGCGGCAGCTGTGCCTGCTGAGCTGCTGCCGCGTGCTGCTGCTGTTGCTGCCATGGCCTCCCAGACCGACACCAGGGTGGGTTCTGCGCCCCTGGCTGCCTCATAGCACTGCTCCGCAAGCTCGGCTGCATCAGCACAGGCAGCAAAGGAAGCGTGTTGGGACAGGGAGAGGGCATGGCAGCAGGCGCAACCATTACGTGCGTGTTGAACTCGTCAATGTACATGCAGGCTAGCAAAGTGGAGGAGTCGCTGAAGAGCATGTGAACATGTTTCGAATGTAAAACCGTGTACGTCCAGCCCCAGGATGATTCCAGTGTCACCCTCAGCTAATGTCTGTGCTGCTAACTACCACTAACCAAGCAAGCATCAGCACATCCAGCAGGGCGCACTCACCAGAGCCATGTCTGCTGTACAGCCGCCCCAGCTGCACCCACAGCGCCGCAGCCTTAGGGTCCAGTGCAAGGGCCCTGCTGTAGCTGAACTCTGCAGCAGCTGGGTCGCCCACTGCAGCTAGTGCGCCAGCCAGCACACCCCACAGCCAGCTGCTGGCAGGCGACAGCCGCAGCCCACCACGCGCAGTGCGCACCGCAGCAGCACGAGCAGCTGCAATCGCAGCAGCTGTAGCCCCCTGCTGCGCTGCTGACTGCTGCGGCTGTAGCTGCTGCAGCAGCTTCGCTTCGTGGCTGTAGCAGAGCGCCACGTCGCCCCACAGCTCCCCAGCAGCAGGGTTCAGAGCGAGGGCTGTAGCATAAGCCCTGCGCGCATGCTGCAGCAGTTGCCGCCTGTCTGCTAGGTGCTGCAGGGCAGCTGCCACTGCTGCTGCGGCTGCATCAGTCTGTCCGCTAGAATGATTCATGCTTGTATCTGCTGCTGCTGCTGCTGCCGCCGGCTGTAGAAGGTGCTTCTGCAGAAGGATGTCACCCAACAGCTTCCAGGCTGTGACAAGGTTGCTGCTGCTCAGTAGCTGCTGCTGCTGAGCCGGCTGTTGCAGCCCATCTGCTGCTGCCGCCGCATCATCACCTGCCCCTCCATCAGCTGCTGCTGCTCCCTGCTCTGCAACCTTGGCACCTGACACTGCTGCTGCTGCACGCTCTGATGCTTCTGTGAGCTCTAGCATAGCTGCACCTGCTGCACCCATTGCCATGTGCCTGCATGCAGATCCAAGCAGCACCTCCGCAAGACCCAGCAGCGCTGCAGCGTGCTGTGGCAGCAGCTGCAGTGCTGCACGGTACTGCTGTGCTGCGTCCTGGTATGCGCCTGCCATGTAGTGCAGGGCGCCGCATGACATGAGGGCGTAGGGTCTTGCAGGATCAAGCTCCAGGGCTCTGCTATAGCTTTTGAGAGCTGAGGCGTGGCGGCCTAGGGCTTGGTAGGAGGCTGCTAAACCCTCCCACAGCTCGGCTGACTTTGGGCTCGACCTGCAACAAGGGCAGCCAGTAGTTGGGTGCAGGAGGCAAAATAGCAATTTGCTGCTGCAGAAGTGCTGACTGCCCAGTACATGCAGACTGCTCAGCTGTACGCCGCACTCCTTTTGAAAGACTCTTTCAAAGGCTCGGAGCCTAGGTCGCACATTGCTAGGTTGTCACGTAACACCGCCACCCCTGATCTGGTGCTGATCTGGTGCTGATCTGGTGCTCCCAGGACATCAGTCTGTCTGACGGTGGACGCATTGCCCAGTGCAGCAGTCATGACTCCGCCGTTTCAGCAAATCACTGGCTGAAGACTTGCAAGCCATGTACCCATGCAACATACAGACTGGACGCAGCAACGGATGCAGAACACAACAGGCACCCTTGACAAAAAGGCAAAACACTGCCGCAGCCCGGGATCGAACCAGGGACCTTATGATTACAAGTCACACGCTCTACCACTGAGCTACAACGGCTTGGGGGCGTTCTCGGCAATTGATGCCCACGACAAACCAACCGCGCTCCATGTCAGCCAATTTGCCAGATAACCTTTCGAACCCAGCGCGTCCCGGTTGCTGAGTCATCTGCGACGTTCCAGATTTTCGGGTGTTCGTTGCAACGTAGTTGCCTGTGCACACCGTGTAACCCCTCTTCTTCTTCTTCTTCAGCGCGTCCCGGCCGGTTTTCTGGATGGAGTCATACTGCCTGTCCTGAGCCGGGAGGTGCGGTGGCAGATCCTGCTGCCTATCGTCCAATCCAGCTGCTCAACTTATGATTACCGCATCTTAGCTAAGCTACTTGCTAACCGGCTGCTGGCAGAGGCAGGCGATGTTATACACCCTGCGCAGTCCGCATTTTTGCAGCATCGGCATATTGGCGATAGCATCAGGCTGCTGCAAATGCTACCTGCTCTACTGCATGAGCAGCGGCAGATGGCGGTAGTTGTTTTCACTGATTTTGCAAAAGCCTACGATACTGTGGATCGCTCATTGTTGTATGATGTGGCCCAAGCACTGGGTGTAGGGCAGGGTTTTGTCAGCTGGATGCAAGTTCTGCTGACGGCGACATACACATGCGCCACAGCCAATGGTTTTTGCAGCCCCTTCTACAAGTGTGAGGCTGGGGTGCGTCAGGGCTGCCCCCTTGCACCTCTGCTGTATTTGTTCGTTGGGCAGGCGTTGTTGTGCTTCCTGAAGCAGCGCGGCATTGGTATTGTTGCAGCTAGTCAGCAGCTTGTAGCAGCACAGTATGCGGATGATGCCGAGGTGTTTCTGCTGTCGCTTGCGAATGTCCCCACTTTCCTTGGCTGCATGGAGGATTTTGCCAAAGCGTCAGGGCAGCGGTTGAACCCATCCAAGTCGCGTTTGCTGCATGTTGGGCGGCAGCCAGCAGCGGCAGCTGCGCCGGGTGGGGCAACGCAGAATGTGGGCGGCATGCAGGTTGTGCAGCGCGCCAAATCTCTGGGAGTGTTTTTTGGTGAACGTGGCAATAGCAACGTGGATTGGGAGGGCAGGCTGGAGACAGTGCGTCGCCGCATGCAAAATATCAGTCGCATCTCCAAGCTGTCTGCGTTTGGCAGGGCTTTTGCAGCTAATGCATATGCTCTGTCCACCATCCTATATGCAGCGCAGTTTGCCGGGCAGTTGCCAGCGACTGTGTCGGAACAGCTCAGCAGGTGGACGGCAGCGCTTGTTGATGCTGGCTTGGGGCCTGAGGATGATCTTAGGCGTGCCCCTGGCATCCCTGGGGACTGCATGGCTGCACATCCTAGGTGTGGTGGGTTTGGCCTTCTGCCCGTTCATCATCACTTGTTGTCTCGCTGGGCTTGTGAAGCAATCCCCCTCCTGCAGGGCGGTGCTGCACCGTGGGTGGCAGTGGGACGGGAATTGTGGGCACAGTGGGCTAGCGCTGTGGATTGTTTCACACGCGCTGCTGCTGGTAGCCCTTGGGGCCTTGCATTGTGTGCCCGTCATCATATCTTCCCTGCGGCCCCTGCGGATGCCTGCTTGCCATCGCCTTTGCGTGTTTTGGCGATGGGTTTGCGTGCCCTGCCGCCGTTGCGTCATGTGGGCAACCAGCCTTTAGACGTGGATGGTTTGTGCTGGGAGGCTCCGCTGTGGGCCAATCCTCTGTTTACAGTGGTACAGTCATGGCAATGGTTTGATCAGCAGCGTCAGGTGGAGGTGGGCTTGGAACAGGTCGTGCCATGTGGCCTGCTGGAGCTCCCCAAGCTACAGTGTTTGGGTCAGGCAGTGTTGCTGTTGTCAGAACTTGAACGTGTCTGTGCCTTGCCAGGGCTTTCTGTTCAGCGCTCCGCTTATGAGCGCGAGATATGGGGCCCGTGGCTGCGCAGTAGACCACAGTATGGTGATCGGCAGCAGGCTCGGCAGCATGTGCAGCATCTGCTGTCGTTTGTGCCGTCTGTGTGGCACACTGCAGCACGCGCGCACCTGGCGGCTGCCCAAGCTGCTGGTATGAGCGTTGCACAATTATCCTCTGTTTCTCCTGTGGACATTTTGATTGCGCGCGAACAGTTGTGTGCTGATTTGGGTTGGCAGCGGCCAGGGGCAGGCGGTTTTATACGTTTGGCTGATCTGCAGGTTGCTGATGCCACGAAGCTACAACGTCTTGCTGCGCTTGATGCCATTGCGCCCCGCCATGCTGCCTTTGTTACTCGGATTAGAGCCCTGGATGCCCTGCCGGTGGCAGTCAGCCTGCCTGCAGTGCAGTCGGTGTTGTCTCGTTGGTGGCAGGTGCGGGTGGCTAACATGTACAAGGAAGCGGCGTGGCGCTTGGCTTTGGATGCATTCCCTACTGCTCAACGTATGCAGGCTACTGCTGCGTGTGCAGCATGTTCTGCTGCAGGGCCTGGGGTGGAGCATCATTTTTGGGCATGTCCTGTTGCTGTGGCGGTACGGCGTGAGGTGGAAAGTCAACTACGGGCGTTCAACTTGTTGCCGGCAGGTGCTGTCCTGCCGTGCCGAGCTATATGGTTGGCGTGCCCCCCTCATAACGCTGTACATCGGTTGGTGTGGGACATGGTCTGTCTTGCAGCAGTGCATGCTTTTGAAAAAGGCCGCAGGGCAGCGTGGGCTGTGTCAAGTGACCTTGGGGTACCCCAGCTGGTGGAGCAAGTGGCTGTGAGAGCAGCAGTAGGTGCTTTCTGGGATGCCCTTGCGGACTTTGCTGCTACGGCTAGGGTGCCGTCACGGTATAGAAATCGGCTGCTCACACAACAGCCTTTTGTTGCCTGGCATACTGTGTTGCGTGGCAATGGTTTGTGTGTGGTGCGGCGGTGATGGCCTTCTTCTCACTGTGTGTACGTGCGCTCTCTGTGAGCTTCTGACATGCCAGAGCTAGCCGTCTTGCTTTGCAGGAGCTGTGAGTTACCGTATCGCTGCTGCAAACTGTAGTCGTGCGGCCCTTGCAGCAGCTGGTTTGTCCTCTGCTCTCTCTCCCCAGTTTGTCGCCTCAGACCACCGCCTGCCAGGCTGTGTTGCTGCTTGGTGGGTGTTGTTCTGTGGGTTCAGCCCGCCCGCTGCACTGCATAAAGTGCAGCTTGCTGTCACTAACACTGTTTACACTAGTCCTGCCTTTGTTTAGCATCAATACTGCGTGTGCTGTGACTGACGGCTTTGCCTGCAAGGCCATATGTCAAGTTACACACACATCGAGACTTTTTGGGGTGAGTCTCCTTGAGTGACAGCCTGTTTTGCTGAGTCATCTGCGACGTTCCAGATTTTCGGGTGTTCGTTGCAACGTAGTTGCCTGTGCACACCGTGTAACCCCTCTTCTTCTTTCGAACCCGGCCGCTGCGCCGCATGATTGCTGGTCTTCAAGCGCTAGGCAAAGTTTGTGATGTGAAGGCGTTGGCGCCTGCGGCGCCTGCCCCTGCACTGCCGCCGCCACATCCTCAACAACTGTCAGACGTGCAGCAGTTGCGTGCACAGCTACAGGCTGTGCAGGATGCGCCGGTGCTGCAGCCCGGGGCTTGGTGTAGTTTGGCTCCTGTCTTTGCTAACCCTTTTTTGCAAGCAATGGTTGGGTTTGTGCCCGGTGGGCTGCAAATGCATCCCGTGCCCTCTGTGCGCGGGCCACATGCATGTTCTGGCGGCAAGTGTCGGCCGCGCATCCGCACTGTGGCCGATCTCTGTCGCGCTTGGCATGTGATCCAGCATGCTGCACGGCAGCAGCTGCCACACCCATTGCTGCCGTACGGCTCCAACTTCAGCAATGCAGACAACGAATCAGCAGATTTGACAGACTTGGTTAACTTGTTGCCCATGCCGTGGCATCGGGCTGCCTTGGCTGTTGTGCGGCATCCTGCAGCAGACCGGCCCTGGCCGCCTGCAGCTGTGCCAGACCCGCCATGTGTGCCTTCTGCAGCAGAGCAGCATGTTGAGGCCATGTTGGTGGCGCGGCTAGGCTGGCGGAATCATCGCGGCAAGACGGTGTCTGTTGCGCAATTGTCTGTTCGTGAAGCTACCTCATTGCAGCTTGGTCCCCTGCGTGCTGAGCGCCAGGAGCGGCGCACTAGGTTTGTCAGTGTTGCGATCGGTGCGGGTGCCCCGCCCGCGGCGTTGACTCGTGGTTTGCAATGTGTGGCGGCCGCCCAGGGCGCACTATGGAAGATGCGCTGGGATAATGCGTACAAGGAGACGTATTGGCGGCTGATCATGGATGGCCTGCCTGTGTCGCAGCGCATGCACCAGCAGCATGATACATGCATGTGTGGCGCTGCGTGCCCTGGTCTGGTGCACCATTTTTGGGAGTGCCCAGTTGCGGTAGCGGTGATTGACAGCCTGCTGTCTGCGTTGCCTGCAACATGGTGTACGCGGGCTGCAGGCCGCCCGCCGCTTGCTATGCGGCACGTCTGGTTGATGCAGCGGCCTCCCGGCCCTAAGCGGCTCCACCAGGGTGTTTGGGGGGTTATTTGTTTAGCTGCTCTGAATGCCATGGATTTTGGCCGACGGCAGGCTAACACGCTGCACATTCCGCCGCCCGCGCCTGCTGCGCCGCGGCCGTCTGCGCCGCCGCCGCAATGGCAGGTACCTATTACAGATGTGTTTCAGCCTGCAGCTCTCACTGCTGCGCAGCAACAGCATAACCAGCTGGTTGAGCAGCGTAGGCAGCAGCAGCTACTGCAACAACAACAACAGCGACAGCAACTACTAGCGCAGGTGTTACGGGAGGCGAAGCAGCAGGCGGTTTTGCGGTTTTGGGAATTGCTTGCTGATTTTGTGGCAATGGAGGCTGCGCCGGCTCATTGGCGTGTTGCGGTGCCTGGAGATCACCCGTTCTTGCGATCTGATCCAGCACAGCTGCGCATTGTACTGGCGCCCCGCTCTGGTTGACCTTCCTGCTTTTACATGATGTGCTGTCAGTAGTTGTCCAATTTCCACTTTCTGGCAAGGCCATGTTGCATGTCGTGTGTCCCTGTGCTTGATTTTTCAGCTCTGTGTGTCGCATTGCGTGC